CAAGCCTGTGCTCGCGCAGTTCCCATCTGTGCCTGGGCAGAAGAACGCTCAATGAGAATCAGTGACAGGTAAGCACAGCCATAGTTTACATATGGTCTAGCTGATTTCACCCGAATGACGGTGAAAATTTGTGCATGTGTGTGATGAAGCAGAGAACAGCAAGACTAGGAATTGCAGGTTTGGTTTGCACAAGGCAGAAGGGGAAACAAGATGGAAGATTTCTGGGTTGATACAGCAGGGATATGAGGAATTTGAATCCCCCCCCCCGTTTTTTTGTTGTTGTTTTTTACTATCAAGTTGCAGCCAACTTCTGGGGTTTTCAAGGCAGGAGATGTTCAAAGATGGTTTGCCCTTGCCTGCCTCTGCATAGCAACCCTGGACTTCCTTGGTGGTCCCCCATCCAAGGGCCAGCCAGGGCAAATCCTGCTCAGCTTCCAAGATCTGGTGAGATCAGGCCGGTCGACGCCATCCAGGTCAGGGCAGAAGACATACCGAGGTGGTTTGCCATTGCCTGCCTCTATGTAGCAAGCCACCCTGGACTTCCTTGGTGGTCCCCCATCCAAGGGCCAGCCAGGGCAAATCCTGCTCAGCTTCCAAGGTCTGACAAGAGTGAGCTATCCAGGTCAGGGCAAACGCTTTCCTGCAACCTTGCTTTCATGTGTGAAATGCAGCAGGCTACGATGGAGTTCCCAATGCTGGAAAAGTCTAGGCTGCCCCCCCTGCCCCCCCGAATCCCAGTGCCAGGCCCCCGTCAACCAGGTGGTCTCTTGCAGGGGAGCAAACTGCTTTTCCTGCCTCTGCCCAGGCAGCTCTCGCAAATCCACCCAGCAGAATACGGTAACAACCAAAAAAGGGGAGATAAATACCCCCCCCATTCTAAAATAGGCTGCAGCTTCCATTTGCTCCTGGGGCTCTGTTTACCCCACTCACCCCAGCCCCCTTTCTGACAAGATTAATGTTTTGACAGTCAACGCAAAATTGGGGGGGGGAGCCCTTCTGCTCTATTTGTGGGCGGGGTGGCGGCTGCCACGCTCCCTCTTGACACTCTTCCGCGGCTGTGGTCTTCGCACGCCACAATAGCCTCTGCCTGAAAGGCACGGCCGAACAATGCCAGTGGGAGATGCCACTCGGCAGTGAGCGAGCTTAAACCAATCCTCTTTCCCAGTTTGGAACGGTTGCTCTGCTCATGTCTTGGGGTGTGTGTGTGTGTGTGTGTGTGTCCCTCTCTCTCTCTCTCTCCTGATTATCTCTACAGCCCCAGACAAATAAAGCTGGGGGGTGGGGGCCTGTGAGCAATCATGAAAGGGGAGTGGCGGTCAAGGACTTGGAACTCTGCTTCTCAAAATCATTTGCTGTGAGCAGCTGGGGCCTTGAAACAGGCCCGTTTTCTTATCACTCTGTCCCCTAAAGGTTCAACTAATCCATTCCATGCCCCCAAGCCCACGCTCAGTCCCCGTGTGTCTGAGGTGTTCCCCTTGCCTTGTCTGAGCGGCCCCCTTTTGCTGCTTTTAGCAACTGGTTGTAGATCACTGGATCCATCATATTCGGTGTTGTCTGCTCCTGTGATTCTGTGACCTGATTGGGGGGGGGGGTGGACCACCAGAGAGGAGCCATGTCCCATCACTCAAGGGAAATGCAGCCTGCTTAACTGTGGACGTAGCTACTGCCCTCTCGGTCCTCAGATGGGGTCTTGAAAGGTGCCCAGTGCAGCCATCGGGAGGAAGCCATGTAGGACTTGAATCTCCCTGGTGCCTGGAAGAGAGAGGGCCGTGTGTACCATCTCGACTTCCGGAGGGAAGAAAGGTCCTCTCCTCGAGATGTAAAACTGCTTACATGAAACAGATGTTTTGTGTCTGTAAAATTCCAAAGTGAAATAACACCAACTCACTGCAAAGCCAGTGTGCTGCACTACATCTAGTAGGAGTGTAGCCCTGGAGGAGGAGATGAGGGTTAGTTTTCCATATGCCAGGGACCTTTTTTATTGGATAGGCAACATACAGGCATGTAAGTCCCCATCTGCAGTAGGGAGCCAGTTTGGCGAAGTGGTTAAAGAGCAGTAGACTCTAATCTGGAGGGACCGGGTTCGATTCTCCACTCCTCCACGTGAAGCCAGCTGGGTGACCTTGAGCCAGTCACAGTTCTCTTAGAGCTCTCTCAGCCCTACCTAAGCCTAGCTCGCCACCTAGTGGTACATAACACTAAAAGAGCTAGAGCTTCTGGCTGCCAGACAATTCTAGGGTCTCCTGGCTGTATCACACACACTGCCATACAGGGGTCGTTTCGTAGAAAAAGAGCTAGGGGAACATTAGCATAACTCATTAGCATATGCCACACCCCCTGACATCACCGGAAGTGTGTCATAAGGCTACACCCCCTGACAGCACTGGAAGTGTGTCATAAGGCCACACACCCCGCCCCCAATGGTCCCGGCCGCCGCCACCGGCCTTGCAGCTCCACTGCCGAGCCCCATGAGGGGTCGGGCGGTGGACCTGCAAGGCCAGCGGGAGTGCGAGGAAGCCCCGCGAAGGCCCTCCCTGGCCCCAGGCAGGCAGGGGTGGGGAAAGGCAGGGAGGAAGCAACTTACCCTCCCTCTTCTCCTGCCTCCTCCTGGCTGAATGAGGGCCGGAAGCGGGGCGGCTGGAAGCAGGGGGGCGGGGCTTCGTCATGTGCCCTGCCCCCGTACCTCACCCGGGGGAACTGCGATCCCCCCCGAAATGACCTCTGCTGCCATACGATAATTATTGTTATTATTGCAATCCAAAGTGGTACTGTTAAGACATTCACCTCGCTTGGAACGAAGCCAAACCGGATCGGAGCATCGTACCTAACGGGAGATCCGATAAGTACTGGGAGTCATAGATCTGGTACACAGTGAGATTCAGGAAACCTATTAAGGCAGTTTAACGTGTGCACACTGATGGCGTCACAATGGCAATGCGTTCCCCACGTAGGTTGGCAGAGGTGACGAATGCCACTATAACATACTGTATTTTATGCTTTGCTCTCTGGCTGTGAGAAAGCCGGTGTGGTGGATAGAGAGATCTGAACCCCTGCCTCTACCATGGAAGCTCGCTGGGTGACCGTGGGCCTGTCCCAAACTCTCAGCCTGGCCTACCTCTCGGGGTTGTCAGAGTACGGGGGTGATGACGACGACAATGCTCTAGGCCACTCCGAGTCCCGACTGGGAAGAATCAAATGGAAGATGCACAAGAACGGCTGCAGCCCAGTCCGTTGCAAGCTCAGTTGCAGAACTGTGGCCCAGATGAGGGGACTGTGTTCCGGAGCTTGCTACAACACACGGTGTGAATTCACTCACGTGCAGAAAGAGGAGAGGGGTAAGAGAAGCAGGTGTGAAAGAGAATGAGAGGAGCTCACGAGTGTTGGGGGAGGGGGCAGGGGAGAAGAACCAGGCCGAGCCGCCGAATCCATGGCGGAAACTTGGACAGAAAGCATACAGTTCAGAGAGCAGGTCTTTATTTTTGTTCCACACCCTATTTTTAAAAGCAGTGAAAGGATGAACGGAAAACTGGCAGCAGCTGGGAAGGAGTGATATCTTTACCCCCCCCTTTTTAAAATGCCACCCTGTCTTCATTTTACATTTTAAAATGCCACCCTGTCTTCATTTTAAGGCACTCTGAGGGCAAGAGCTGCCTGCCAATGCTGCCAGCAGTGTTGGTGCTGCTTCACCTTTACCAGCAGCGTAAGAGTTGCGCATTTTTCTTTCTGAAATCACATCCAGCTTGAAGTGAGGTTCTCTCTCCCCTGCTCCCCCCATAAAATGCAACCACAGACATTCTGTGGATGCCTGGAGACAATCATGTTTAGGCCTATTTTTTAAAAAATCACAGTACGAGTGGAAACATTCTGCACATGCTCAGAGATGTGCACCGCCACTCCTCTTGGTGCAAGGATTTCTACAGCCAGCCAGTCAGTCCTGTAGAGATTGCAGTGCTGTGGGTTTCCTAACAACCTCCTCGCTCTTCAGGTATTCCTCCCCCCCCCCTCCCGTCACAGTTTCTCCCTTCCTCTCTCCTTTGCCACTCTCGGTCTGAAACCATTCCTTTTACAAGGAGTATGGAAACGGACCAAAAATTCATGAATCAGAGATTCCATTTTCCTCTGGGTAAATGTTACTGTGTTCCCCCCCCTCCCCTGTTTGATGCTTCCTTCAGACCGTGTGTGGTGAAGAATGCAGAGGCCAGAGGAGAGGAGTTAATGGGGGGGGGGGGCTGAGCAGGCAGGGAGCCGTGGGTAGTCTCCCTTACCCACAATGCTGCTTTTGTGGAGGGGCTTTGCCCCAGCTGGCTGTTGGAGCCCTGTGCTTTCATCGAGGCTGCCAAACACAACACGGGGTCCTTTAAAAACCCACTGCGAACTCGCCATTTCCTTCCAGTTCAAATTGTTCCATGCGTCGCAAACACGCACACACGGAGACCCCCAAACTGCCGTCAGCTTCTTTTCCGCGACAGCATTTGGTCAGCAGCCAGCCGAGCGGCTGAAATGGCAGGAACCTTTACTGTCTTCGGAGCTGGACTGGCTGATTCTGAAACCTTTTAATCTTTTTAAAATGTTGGGTGGGGTGAGGGCTTGCGTCCAAGCAGAAGATGCATCTTGTAGCCTCCTGTGACGACCCCTTATCTGGGGAGGACTGGTTTCCCTTTAAAAGTGTTCTTTTTATTTTGTTCTACTGGGTATATCTGTCTGCCACCAGGAAATTTTAAAGGATTTCCAAACCTTTATGCTTTTACTCTTGTTATTACTGGGTAGGTAGGTCGAGTTTAAGGCTCATGAGGGACTATGTGGTCCTGAGGAAGTATTTCTTGCAGAGCTGGTATACTTAAATAAAAGTAGATTTATTGAAATAATTAATAAATAAAAGGGTATAACAATGTGACCAGTAATGTGAATATTTTGAACAATTGCTGGGTGTCTCACACAAGATCTGATCCCTTCCTGACAGGGATTTTTCAGGTAACTTTGTAACACTTTAACTCAAGGTCATATACGTTTGTTTCACTCCAGATAGACCACTCTAGTCTATCACAGCCGCACACACATATAAACAAGGAATCGCCACATCTCCGTCTGCGGAACTGGGGTGGGATCCAACCAGATGGGCTAATGGGAGGCAGGTGCGGGGCTGTTGTCGTCTTTGATTGCCAGGAGGCAGAAGCCCGGGAGAGACACGGAGGCACTGCAAGATAAGTGGCAGGGAGGCACGTGAGTTTCCTGCAAAGATCGTTCTTCTTATGAAAGCTCAGGGGGCGGTGGGTGTCCAGGTGAAACGTTTCTCCCCTCTCCCACACTGGACTATGACAAATCTGCCCAAAGCGGGGAAGAGGAACAGGACCACCGGTAAAAATTATGCAAATGTAAACCAAAGTTGCCTTAATCTGCATAAACTGCCGCTGTGGAGGGAGGTGACTGAAGTCTGGCCTCTCCTCCAACTTCAGGACCTCAGGAAAGCCTTGCTAGGTCAGTGCCTCCTATTTCCGACAGGGAGAGAGCAGTCTGCCGTCGCTGGACAACCTGCGAGCAGAGGCCACAAAGGCCCCTGCCTGCTGTTAACAGGTATCCTGCCTCTCTGCATAGAGGAGCCAGGCAGCCTCCCCGTGGCTGTCGATCTCTGACTCCTCCTCCCTCCCCGTGGGGTGTAGTTCCCAGAACAGGAGAATCCAGAGGTGGCTGCCCACAGGACAGATGTGCCCCGAGAAAGACAGAGGAAAAGAGGAGGGATGTCAAAATCTACACCCGTGTTAAGGTTTTGGTCTGGCGCTGGAAAGAATGACTCCTGCCCGCCCCTCTTGGAAGAAGCTGGGAGAGCAGCCCTCGCCTAGAGCTCCGTGTTGCCACTGGAGGCGCGCTGTGGATTGTGAGAGAGGAGAGATGGGAAGGACGCCCCTGCCCTGTTGCTCCCCGTGCTCGGCTGGTACAAGGAGGAGGGCAAAGCCAGTGTCTGCCCCGGAACTAAAACCCCACGGAGGTGGCTGCCCTCCCCCCGGCTGCACTGCTCTCGCTAAGGCCCCCGGCTCAGGCACAGATGCGAGCGCCGCACTCTGCGACCTGCACAACGCGAAGGAGGATGTTGGCCACTTTCCAACGCTTTCGCTCAAAACAGGAAAATGCAGGAATGAATCAAAATCCAGTCTGCCGCCTCGGGCTTATCGGCAGCAAAGGAACTACCCGGAAGTGACCCCGAACCCCCCAAATAATCAGCAGTTGGAGCTCAGGACCAAAGCCGGAGGCAAAGTGATTTTGGGGGAAAGGGCCTGTAAGGGCTTATCCTCACTTTCAACCTCATTCCTCCGTGACTGACTGAGGGGACTAATCTTGTGTCCCACGCGTGGGGGGGGGGCACAGCAGGAGCTACAGCCCATCCAAAGAATCCACTGTGCACAACCCAAGGCATGGCAAGAGCGTGCGCGCACACATGCCCCGACCGCTTGGGGCACCACAGGTCAGCCAAACGGGTGTCGCCGCTCAAGGGTGCCGCGTTTTAAGCTCCGGAACATAACAGGAGCCCAGAGCCAAGGTGACGCTGGCCGGCTGAAGATACAGGAGAGGAGGCCAAGGGAGGCCCAAAGGGTCCCGGAGGCCAAGCTCGGCTAGAGTCCGATGCCATTCGGCTCAGCCAGTGCTTGGCAAGTGCTCACGCTCCAGAAGCCAGGGCCTCGGGGAGGGGCAGAGCCGCCTGAGAGACCGTTCAAAGCCTCCCATCGAATGAAACGGAGAGCGATTCCAGCCACTCCCTCTCGCCCCTGTGCCAGGGACTGTGACTCAGTGGGAGACCACCTGCTTGACATGAAAGCCTCCCTGGTTCAAGCTCTGTCCGTCTGCAGTTGACAGGATGCACGTGGCACGGGAGGCTGCCTTATGCGGAATCAGACCTCTGGTCCATCAAATCAGTCTTGGCTACTCTGCCTGGTAGCGGCTCTTTGGGGTCTCAGGCGGAGGTCTTTCACATCACTCATTCTTTCTACTGGAGATGCCGGGGATTGAACCTGGGACCTTCTGCATGCCAAGCTGATACTCTACCACTGAGCCACAGTCTCTCCCCTCAGGGTGCAGGTAGGCCTAGAGAGCGTCTGCTGGTCACAACAGACAATACCAAGTTTGATGGACCAGCGGCTGCCATAGGGCAGTTTCCTATTTGGCTCTCTAGTGAAAGGGCGCCTCTGTTCAGTGGTGGAGCACCCGCCTTGCGTGCAGGTTCGATCTGTGCTACCTCCCCTTAAAGGACTCCTCTGTTCTAGCCACTGTCGGAATGACTGGCCTTAGAGGGACCGACGGCTTCATCTTCTCTGTACACCTGCCAATTTCTGGGCTTTCAGTTTCATTTTGGGGGGAAGCCCAACTGAGAAGCTGGAATCGCTCGCACTTTTATGCAGTTGTATAAGCAAGGAGCCAAGCCAGTACAAAGCTGACAGAAGTGTATTAGCTCGGCTTGAACGTCACCCGGTTTGTGCTTTTCTATCAATACTAAAAAAGCTTTTGGTCAGTTTCTCAAGGTCGAAGTTGCCCCGCCCCTTTTTTTGGAATGCCCCCATGGTGTGTGTGAGTGGAAACAAGAGTCAGAGTTGACGCCCACCCGGTTTGCCTCCTGTTTGTTTGGAACGGCAGGCAGCGGGGTGGGGGTGGGAGACATGCCAAAAGGGTTCTTTACCGGTCAGTTCCTGGAAACAGGATGGCACAGAGCGTGTGGTTCGGCAGGCCTCTGTAGAGCTTTCTGATCCAGCGGTCGCACGCCTTCATCGCACTCTTTAAGTCTTGCTCCTGCACCGGAAAAATGCCAAGGCTCGTGTTAAAACAGCTCTCATTCAGAAGGTTCGCCGGGTGAGAGGAACAGGTGAGAGAGGGAGGGGCATGGTAGCCCCCCCCCCCCCGCAATTACTGTAAAATTCCACAACCCTTTCTATGATAAATGTACTTTGGGAAAGTGCACTCTGCCCCAAGGACACAGAGAAACAAAATTAAAGTAAAACACACACACCCCCAAAAAATATGGAGCTCTTCTTTCAAGAAGACTGGCGGGGGGGGGGGGGGGGTCAGGTGTGGAGCCACTTGGTTTGCCTACCGGAGTTCCCTGGTCCAATCCTTGGCGGCATCTCCAGCTCCAAAGGCTGCGAGGGATCCTGAGACCCCAGAGAGGCAGAGGAAGCAAGACTGAGCTTGATGGACCGATGATGATTCCACGTAAGGCAGCTTCATACGTCTGAGCAGCTTATCTAGTTCAATAGAGCTTATTCTGACTGGCTCTGTAGGGTCTTTGTGGGGCAACCTGGGAAACCCCTGCCTGCAAAGCGTATCCAAGGAACCGCAGCTCTGGCTTGAACTGAGGTCTTGCTTATGGTCCACCAAACTCAGGGCTGTTTACGCTGGCTGATGGTTCTCCGGGATCTCTGGCACTGCCTGAGCTTTCATTCACCTGCTACTTAAGACTGTTGCGATGGAGATGGCAGAGACCGAACCCGGGGCCTTCTGCACGCCAGCCCTTCTTCCCCAGGGGATGCCGGCCGATTGTGTCTCGGGAGAGTGGAAGCTAAGCGACCGACTCACCAAAGCAAACAGCTGTTCCTTCGGTTGGCGGCCAGCCTCGTGCGGCAGCTGTGGAGTGGCAGGACATCCGCCGTTTTGATTCTCTCGGCAGACCCACCGGTGGAGATGTGGGGGCGTCACAGCAACCCTGCTGTGCAATTTTCCACCTCTGGCGGTCTGCCCCTGGATGGTTTGTAGGGCCACGGAGGCACTTTCCACTGTCGGAAATTCTGAAACAGGAATGCAAAACAGCCATCAAATGCTTCCCTTTAAGATTCTTTCATGTCTTCTACCTGGGCAGCTTTTAAATTGTAGACTTTCTGAAATGTAGGATACTTTTTGTAAAACAGACAAGGGCTGGGAGTAGAATTCCAGTTCTACGTGAAAGGAGGCCCTACAGAGGAGGAGGGCCGCTCCTGTCCATTCACCTGGATCCCAGCTAGGATGGCTAGCCACAAGCACAAACCCAGACTCCTTTGGCCATAGTACAATGTCTTCAGAATAGGTCTGTTTCCTGCTAAATAATGCTAGGTAGCCTGGGCCCACCCGGAATGCCACCCGTTTTGGAGAATTTACCCGTGTTCAGCAGCTGTTGCTATTACCATAGTTTGTAAATGCAAAAGTTAATAAATAACATTTGTCTCTTTGCTAGTTGCAATTTCCGAATTTTTTTTTTAGAAGGCCATCTTCGCCCCATCCTCAAGTGGGGGTTCAGCTCTCTCCGTTGTTCCAGGTCAACCTTATGCAAACTAGACTGTGACATGCCTCAGCCAGAGGACTGGCTGAAGCGCACTGAAAGCATCGGGAGAGAAAGAATAACCTTCAGAGCAATGTGTCGGGATCACTTGCGCAATGGAACGATGAGCCTTCCAGGAAAGGGACTTCCTGTGGCACCCTCCAAAGGTAAAAAGGTAAAGTTTCCCTTGCTCGAAAGCCAGTCGAATCCGACTCTAGGGTTGCGGTGCTCATCTCCGTTTCAAAGCCGAAGAGCCAGCGCTGTCCGAAGACGTTTTCGTGGTCATGTGGCCGGCATGATTAAACACCAAGGCACACGGAACGCTGTTACCTTCCCACCGAAATGGTACCTATTTATCTACTTGCAATTTCTTGCTTTCGAACTGCTAGGTTAGCAGGAGCTGGAACTAGAGACGGGAGCTCACTCCGTCATGCAGCAACTCAGGTCTCGAACTGCTGAACTACAGACCTTCCACAGCCTGCAGTTCAGTGTCTTAACCACTTGAGCCATCGCAGCTCCTCCAAAAGACGCTAGCAAATCCTTCCTTATTACAAACATTTCTTCTGGCCCAAGCAGCTCCGTTTGGTCTGAACAGCCTCCTGGTTTTGTTTCTGCAAATACAGAACGCTTCCAGGGCTGAGTCTCTCGAGTGCCGTGTATACTGTACTCACTGAGGAAACAGTAATTTCTCTGTCTTCCGCTCCCGGGATCCCTTGGCCGGAACACTGACTTCAGATCTTTCAGGAAATCCAGCTGCTCTTGCAAATCTGCCTCGCCGTCGGTCTCCTCCAGTCCTGCCACGTAAATCACACCTTCATTGTCTGCATCCATTTCCAGCTGTCTCAGGAGGGTCTCCCAATCAAGTGTCATTTCGGTGATGGGTCTTTGCACCTGGAGGGCAAAGGGTGGAGAGGAAGGAGAGAAACAAACCGGCAATTACCCAGTAGCACAAGAAACACCCAACCAAGCGATCATAATCACGCTGAGCCAGCCTCCAAGCATCCTCCTTGCTGTGACTCCGGTGCAACAGAGAGCCATGTTAGACTGTATTAAGCAGAAGCCATTTCTAGCTGAAAAGCAAGTGCAGAATAGCTCAGTGGCTATGGGCAGGCATTGTGCAGATGCTGCTTTACCAGCACGGAAAGAGCTGTGACTGGCGGCAGAACAGCTGCTTGGTGTGCAGAAGGTCCCTGGTTCAATCCCTGGTGTCTCCTGTTTAAATGGATCTCGGGGAGCAGGTGGTGGGACAGAGCTTTTCCTTCCTGAGAAGTGATGAGAAGACCTCTCTTGAGGCCATCTGCTCTGCACACAAGAGATCCCTCTAAGGCCCCTTTCAGCTACCATTCTCCAAGGGCAGGAGACGGTCGTACCTTAATATAGGATCCCGCAACTTCCGCTCCATTCAGGTTCTCTATAGCAAGTTGGGCTGCCTCTAGAACTTCGTACTGGACACAGATGTGGGGCTTGGGAAAAAGGAGGAGATTGTAATAGAGCACCTAACCATCACAGCAAGCCGACTGCACTTCTATTTACTTTTTTTACACTTTTATTGCGTACATTCTTTAGGGAAGGGGGAATCTACAGTTCTCTCCTGCCCCTTTCTTATTTTCCTTTTCCAAGCTGAAACTCAGCTGCCTTTCAGTGTGCTCAGTCCTCTTCAGAGCACTTTTTTTCTTTATTTTTCAAATGTACGAAATGGTTTTTCCCCTCCCCCGCAGATCCTGGGGGTGGGGGTGGGGACAGGCAGCAAAAATCAGCCTACTCTGTGCGTGATCGGGCTGCCCTGTGATGCTCCAGTTTGCTGTTCAGAAGGGTGACGATGCACAGGGGCTTGTGGGCAAGATGGGATGATGGACTGATGGGTGGAGAAAGTTGGCCAGACTTTCTTGGCCTGTCTCTGCAGGAGGCTTCGGGAGTTTCGTAAGATCCTGGTCTAGGCGTGGCTACTTTCATACCATAAGTGCAAGGTGGTAACCAGGCTCCCAGATTCCACACTTGCCTGGCAAAACGGCCCTCTACCAACACCTCCCTTAATCTGCAGCAGCCTCAGCTCCTAAACCTCAGCCATCAAGTGCTTTTCAGTGAGCTCTCCGAGGACTTGAATGCTCTGTGACTTCCACGATGTGGACAAACCTTGCTATTTTTGTTCAAGGACAACGAGCTGGGTGTCAAACTCTGTCTCTAGTTTGCCATGATTGGTAAGGGGAGGGAAATCCCTGAGGGGTGTGTGTGAATGGCTGAGTGGGTGAACCGCTCTGTCGCAGGCAACGTAACTCTTTCAAAGATACCTCCCTTCTACCAGAGAGGACCTTGGAGCCAAAGCTGTGCCTGCTTCACTGGCTTAGATAAGGGATTTGTGTACTCACAGGTGTGTGTGTGGGGGAATGTAGAGGCGCAAAAGCTAGGCGGGACGGTTGCAGAGTATGATTGGATGTATTGGAAGGGGGGGGGCTCGTTTGAACTGTCTATATCTTTGGATTCTCCCACCAGGACCTCAGTTCTGACACGGTACAGGTCTGGCCTGGAACATGATTATTCCTCAATAAACAAATCACCGCCAGAGAGTGTTGTTGAGAGTAACCTTGTCCAGGAGTCTGACACAGGGACGTTCATGGGGGATGGCAGTGCTTCCTCTCAGATATTGTATACATCAGGAGTCCCCAACATGGTGTTTAGGAATTGGGCAGGGCCAGGTGGGGCTTTTCTCCATCAGAGCTTTTAATTGGCTGTGCAGATTTAAAAAAAATGTTGCTTCAGCAGCCGCTGCCCCCACAACACAAGGATCTTCACTGTGTGGTCGAAAGTCAGCCATGGCAGACATTTTGTGGCTGGCTCCACCTCCCGTGGCAGCCATCTTGTGCCTTTACCCACCACACTGTGTCAGAATCCCAGGCTGTAAAAGGTCAGGGACCCCCGGCATACATCGTAAGTGCTGGTGGGAAGCTAGAAGCCCTATCTTAAAGCCTCCCACACCCCATGCGTCCCATAATTCTGTGTCACGACTAAAGCCTTTTGTGAGGGTCTCCTCATTGCTTAGAGGAGTAAGGAAAGCAAAGTACAGGGCTAGTTAGTGGACAGCTCATATTTTAACAAGTCCCTGTCGAGTTCAAGCACTGTGATTTTAGAAGGGGGAACAAAACCCTCTCCGTCCACTTTACCTTCGAGGTTTCTGTAACGACTCTGATTGACCGAATATGTCCGTAGCTCTCAAAGGTTCTCTTCAAAGCCTTCAAGCACCAGCCCTTTCTGAACGGGCCGGCATAAACCGTCAGCATGCCGTCCAGTTTAGTCCGCAGCTATGGAAATAAGGGTTAATGCTGAATTCATGAAGACAAAAAGGAACCTAATAACCAGCGGATTCCTCTCCTCTCAGGGAAACATTGAGAAGGCAAAGCACGGTTACGTTTGTTCTGAGGTGTGCAGCGAGGTGGGGGTTCAGGTGCCGTGGATCCGAAGGAAACTGAACGATGCTGAAAGACGACCTGGAGATCTCTTCCAAAGCTTGCTGGAGAATCTAAAAAGAATGAAATTTGAATAGGAGACTTGAAGATCAAGGACTGCCAGTCAGTGGTCTGAAAACCCCAGGTGCCTGGAAGAGACCCAGTAGCAGATCGAGTGAAGCAGTGGTCTTTTGCCCATTGGTCAGGACCCCTGAGGACTGCAGAGCCCCTGGAAAGACACCCTTTTTGGAAGGACCTGTGCCCAATGTTCCCTCTAAGCTGTAGAGTCCTGTGAGCAAAAATTCTACTTTGTGAGCTACTGGCATTAAAGTTGTGAGCAGATGATTTGGCTACTGCATAAAATAGTGTGTTCTGGAGCCCTCCTTCCTGAGCCGAGACAAAGATGTGTGAGCCGGAGGCTAAAAAACTGTGAGCTAACTCACACTAAATCAGCTTAGAGGGAACACTGCCTGTGGCTACTGCTAATGCGCAGAAAGCAAGGGCCCCACGCCTCCTGCCTCTTCTCCCACGCAACCGCACTGCGAGGCAAGGTCGTTCAGTGATGCACAAGGTTCTTCCTTGGCTTGTTCCTAACTATGGTGCATCTCCTGCTGCTTGGCATGTGCTTCCTGCTGCCTGTGGCCCTAAATACTAGTGAACGCCTCACTCCGGCGCCTCCTTTGCCTATCACGTGACAATGGTGTCTGATGACTTCCTGTCAATGAACTTGCCACAGGGTGGGCCCCAGGCCTGGAGTGGTTGAAGACTGCTGGACGAAAGGGGTTTGGAAGCTAGGATAAAGGCCTGCAGTGGCTCTTAGGGCACACCCCGGCCACTGCAGAAGAAAGTGACGGGATGGTGGGCTGCCCTCCTCCTCCTCCTCAGGGGCAAGAGGGCTCCTCAGCTGTGGTGGTTGCTGGGCAAGAGTGAGCCTGGGTGAGAAGCCGCTTGACGGGCTCTTGTGCCATCTCCCCCTCCCCAGGGGTTCAGCCTCCCATGTCTCCAAACAGGCATGTGACTGAGGGCATTTCCAACTCACCTGCTTGTGTTGGTTGCTGTTGGGAGAAGCGCCACTCTGCCCTCCCAGAAGCAGCCTCTTTTGACTGAGAGACTGCAAGGCGTCGAGAAGGCTGAGGATGAAAAAGGAAAGCAAAGTCCACTGGGCTTTTACCAAGCCGATGTTATAGGAGGGGCAGAAGGGCTGAGGCTGAGGGACCGTTGCATGTCCGAGACCGAGCAGTATGTTCCCAGCAGGGGCGAGGGGCTTCCCAACTCATGGGACAAAGTTTGAGTCCTTTAAGTGGCACCTTTAAGACCGACGACGTTTAATTCTGGGTATCGGCTTTTGTGTGCCTGACTGGACTCAGACTTTGTTCTGTTGCTTCAGGCCAACATGGCTACCCACCTGGATCTATTCCCAACCCGAGTCTCTTAGCTGTTCCACTATACTGTTATAGGTAAAGGTAAAGGTTCCCTTGCTCGAAAGCCAGTCGAATCCGACTCTAGGGTTGCGGTGCTCATCTCCGTTTCATAGCCGAAGAGCCAGCGCTGTCCGAAGACGTTTCCGTGGTCATGTGGCCAGCATGACTAAACACCAAGGCGCACGGAACGCTGTTCCCTTCCCACTGAAGTGATACCTATTTATCTACTTGCAATTTCTTGCTTTTGAACTGCTAGGTTGGCAGGAGCTGGAACTAGAGACGGGAGCTCACTCCGTCATGCGGCACACTCGGGTCTCGAACTGCTGACCTACCGACCTTCCACAGCCTGCAGTTCAGCGTCTTAACCACTTGAGCCACCGCAGCTCCTCATACTGCTATAGCAGGCCACAAAGAACTGTACTGAAGGGGGGAAATTAATCTGCCCCGCTTAAAAGTGATGTTACTCGTTTGGCTATGTAGTGAAATTAATCTTAAAGGAACCACTGACTATACAGACGGAAACACACGCAAAACAGACTATAGAAGGAAGGGAAACCTCTTTACCGCTGGACGGGTGTCCTCGCCTGCTTTGGGACCCCATTCCTCAGCTCTGGCAAGGAGTGCTTCTTTGAGTCGCCTGCTTGGTTCTGTTCCAGCCAGCGGGCTTCCAGGTTCAGCTCTGCTACCTGGGAAGAAATCGACCCATTTTACAAAACGCATCCTAGAAAGTTTACATTTGAGTCCAGGTTACAGATCTCCGGTCTTGGGAGTTTTGCTGGCAACGTCTGGGATTTCGCCGAGATGTCTGACAGGACTGTAGTCCCTGGGAATCAGGGGTGAGAGGCAGATAGAGCCCTAGAAGATGGGTCTGTTAACAGCAATTAAAGGGGATAGCTATGGAATACCAGACACTGGGGGTGGGGAAGAGACGCACACCTCTTCTTTTCACCTGCCGTAAATATATTCCGTGAAGGGAGGCTGTTCAGATGTGTCTCAGTGAAGTACCGAGGCAAGGCACGGGGACGAGCCATTTTCCTACACTCAAAACCCACACCATTAATAAGGGAAGTTTTGCTCACTGGGCATCCCTGCCATGAAGTTTCTCCTCTGCAATGGTTACCAGCAGAGTTCGTCAATTTACAAAAAATTGCTGCAACAGTTCAAACATTCACAGAATGAGGACAATAATGTATTGGCATTTCCATGTTGTTTTAATCCAGAATTTCTTTTTTCAACAGGTCAGGACATCAAGTCACTGAAGTGCTTACGAACAGTTGTTAAGACGTTGTCCGCTAAAAGGAACTATTTGTAACTTGGGAGCTATTCTTAGCCATTCGGAATGTGTCAACTTCGTAAATATTGGATTACTTTGTGAAAGAATTACAACAAAACAGAATTTTGATAAAGATTGCCTCGAAACGAACATTGAAACTCGAGGAAGTTCATAAGCACTTCAGTGACTTGATGTCCTGACCTGTTGAAAAAAGAAATTCTGGATTAATACAACATGGAAATGCCAATACATTATTGTCCTCATTCTGTGAATGTTTGAACTGTTGCAGCAATTTTTTGTAAATTGATGTATTTTGATTGCTGTGCCCTTTAGTTATATTACCAGCAGAGTTTGAACAGCTTCTGAACTTCTCGAAGAAACAACAAAAGGGACACAAATTATGTAAAACCACATACCTTTCTCGGTCCCTGGCCCATGAAAAACTGGGCCAGTTGGAGGGCGCATGTGGCGTCTTCCGTTGGATCGTGACCCTCTTGGTCTGTGCGCTGGATGTCTTTCCTTGGATGGTGTTGTGTATGTAGATGAAGCAAAAGGCACAAGGGTTAAGTGTAGTGATAGATGTGAGCCCTTCCATGCCTGCTAAGAGAACGCTCCATGTCACGGAAAACATCCCCACTGCATGAGAGGATTCCGGTCCTCATGGAAATTCATGACAGTTTTGGCCAGTGAGGACTTAAGCCATGCACACGGGTGAGAATCACTGAGTCCACCTAGTCCAGGGGTCCCCGACCTTTTTCAGCCAATCGAATCTCCAGTAGTCAATCAGAAGCCTTGCTGGGCAAAAACCCTGCCTGTCCCCACCCACTCCCTAAAATCACATGGAGGGGGGCACCAGAAGAGGTGTTGGCGTGTGAAAATAATGCAGCCATGGGCACCATGACTTAGGAGAGATTGGATTTATACCCCGCCCTTCATTACCCAAAGGTGTCTCAGAGCGGCTTACAAACTCCTTTCCCTTCCCCTCTCCACAACAGACACCCTGTGAAGGTAGGTGGGGCTGAGAGAGCTCTGACACAAACTGCTCTTTTTCAAGAACACCTCTGACAGAACTATGGCTTGCCCAAGGTCATCCAGCAGCTGGGAGTGGAGGAGTGGGGAATCAAACCTGGTTCTCCCAGATTAGAGTCCATGCACTTAACCACTACACCAAACTAGTCAGATGGACTGGCTATACTTTCAAAATGTGCAAAAGGAAGTGCATCTGCACTCAAAGCACAGTTATTCTATGGAACTCTCTGCCACAATACGTCTATTAAGACTCTTATCCCATCCTTCTTCCAAGGAACTCAGGGCAGTATACATGGTTCTCCCACACAACACCCCTGTAAGGTTGGTCTAAGAGGGTATGATGGGGGGGGCAAGGAAAGAAGATATCCTAATTATTTCTTCTCTCCACCCATGGTCCCTTATGGGCCCTTCACCTTCCTGGATTTCTGAAACAATCAATGAAGCAGAAACAGCCTTACCTTAAAACTGCTTCTGCTAAGAATTTCAGCCTGAATCTTTTGCCTCCCTTCCGGGTAAAAAGGAGTGACGTGTCAATCACATTGGGATGTATCATCTAAAAGAGGAGAGCAGGCATTAGAGGTGGGATTCGGGAGATGCCCTGGCGTGCGGCTGTGATCTTGAGGCTAAGGTAACGCTGTGATTGACTTTCTATCACTGGTTCCTTTGACAAATACAGGTGGTGAAAATGCCATCGAAGAGGAGTTTCCCTTTTATTTTCCATCCCCGTTTCTTTTTTCAAAGGTAGAATAGAGTTGGAAGGGACCTTCAGGGTCATCTAGTCCAAACCCCTGTACAATACAGGAAATTCACAAATACTTCCCCCCTCCACACCCCCAGTGACCCCTGCTCCATGCCCAACTATAGGTAGGATGATCTCCCCCCCCCCAATGCCACTAAATGCGGACCATACATTCCACAAGATCATATGAAGAGTTCTTTTGGGACCTGCACCATTACAGATGTTATGGAGGGACTTGCATGTTAATGCTTTCCTGCAATGTAAAAATTCCCTGTGTGTAGGAAATGAGCACATCAGGGAAGAAGGTTGGAGCCTGCCTTTCTCTCTCTGCTCGTTTGTGTGTGTGTGTGGGGGGGACATGGGAGAGTGCAGGTGTGTTAAAAAACGCGGTGCTTGGACAATGAAGTGGTACACTGAGAGCCAGTGTGGACAGAGTGGCAGACGAGGACCCTAGGCAACCCGGATTCGAATCCCCGCTTCAATCATAGATGCTCTCTTGATGACCTTGGGCCTGTCACAAACTCTTAGCCTGGCCTGCCGCAGGGTTGTTGTGAGAGAATGCGGGGAGAACAATATTCTAAGCTGCTTTGAACCCCAACGGGGGAGAAAAACAAGATACAAATAAATAAATGCATATATTCCCAGAAAGAACTTGGTGACTGCGGAGAGTGGTCTTCAGAGGTGAACATACAAAATAAAAAGCCCCCAAGAACATACTGCATTCGCTACCAAAACAGGGCTGAGACTCCCCCTAAATTTAGAACTCATGTCTCTTTTCTTTTGTTATGATCCTGCCCACTTGCTGAGGTCACCCTTTGAGGACCTCTTTCCTCCCCCCCCCCCCCGCTCTTCAGGTGGGTGGCCACCAGAGACAGACCCGTATCCATCGTTCTGGAACACAGTCTTCATACGTTTAGTCCTAGGATGCAACACTATCCTCTTTTCCGAACCTCTGATGGCAAATGACCGTATTCATTAAAGTAAAGTAGGTGCCTGCAACCCCAGTGCCAATAACAAAAGCCATCTGGGGGGACTTTACGGGTATGCATAAAAACATGATTTTGTCATTGAAACAAAGAAATTGAAATAAATAAACTGGGCTGATGAGGATTGGGCAGACTCCTGGAGACATGGATTACAGGAAGCAGTTGAGAGTCAAAGGGGGAAAGGGGAGGATCGGACTGCTCAAGCCCCAGAGACTATAGAATATTCTAGACTGGGATGGATTGTATTCCCACAATTCCTTGCAGGCGCACAGCATGTCATTCTTGTTTTTGAACTGCTGTTTCTTGTGGCTCTTTGGTACATTGTGACCTTTATGGTGTGGTGTGGTGTTTTCAAGCTGGTTTTAATGTGTGCTTTTTACTACTAAAATTGGATTCGTAAGGCCAGTCGCGATAGAAAAGGGGTAGATACAAGGATTTTCAGTACAAATGTCCACCAGCAGCTTAGGAGCAGATCACAACTATTCCAATGTGTTGATAAGCAGATTTGGAGGGTTTTTGCTGAAAGCTGTGAGGCAAAGCACCCCTGGCCTTCCCCTCAAGGTGGTGAGCTCCCCCTCCCTGGCAGCCTTTAAGCAGTGGCTGGACAAACCCTTGTCAGGGGTGCTCCAGGCTGATCCTGCATTGAGCAGGGGCATTTGACTAGGTGGCCTGTGCGGCCCCTTCCAGCTCTGTGATTTTATGATTCTATGATTAATATGAATAGTAACGGGACTGATCTATTCTGCAGGTGTTACTAACTGGTTTCTTGACCTGCACAGTTCTTATCACCTTCAAGGCCAGAGATGGAAACGTGGTAATTAGCTTCTCACAAGAACTTGTGGTCCAGCTGATTGGAGCTGGGAGTGATGAGGTAATCTTCTAGAGGCTTCTCCTGAGAACGTGTCCTGATTGGATGCCATCATCACCAAAACTGGGCCAAAAAACTATAATGTAGCTAAGGCCCTGAAGGAAAGAGACTAGCTGGGAATTTTGACAGACCAGAAGCCTGAACTATGACATGCTTGAATTGCAATTGCTGGCAACGTAGAAAATGCTTGAGCTTTGGTCTTTGATTTGTGAAATTAAGGTTTGTGCCATCTATCACAAGCCCTGAAATGTGTTAGACAGTTTTTTTTTTAATTTATTTATAAAATTTTAAATTTAAAATACAATCAATATCTATGAGTTGAAACAGCAGCAAAAATAAAATCGGGAAGGGGGACACATTCACGATATCTGGGGAGTTTCCTCAATACAAGTGATGAACTTGTGGATGAGCAGGAGCGTTCAGCATTGAAGCAAATGTGACAGCCTCAGTTGATGTGGAAATACTCTTAATTGGTTCAGTGGATGCAGCCACTTATCACCCCCTGTTGTCAATAGATTGCACCATCAACCAAACAGTAGCCCTTCATATTTTGGTTTTCTTATTTGTTCCCAGTCGAATTTGTCTATGTTCATTTTCTCTAATACAGGGTACCATTTATCCATGGGGTTAAGCTGGTGATACTCAACATGTGTAGTATTTGTCCAGGACGAGATTTTCTCTTGTAGGAAAAAATCCCAGACTTTGTGCAGCCATTGTTGCATATTTGGAATGGAATCTGCTTTCCATTTACTTGCTAACAATACTTTAGCAGCTATTAACAGAACATTGATTAGTTTTTTCTTAATTTCTGGTATACCATCTGCAGGCCAAAGGTGGAGCAGAATCAATGCTGGATCGTATGGTAAGTTATACCCTGTTAGAGCTTGGATGTTTTGTATGATGTTTTTCCAATACTGAGCAACAAACGGACACTCCCACCATACGTGTATGTATGATGCTTTCTGACCACATCGCTTCCAACACAGTGGTGAAGTATTGGTGTATATATGCGCCAATTTTGCAGGGGTTAGATACCATCTGTGTAGTACTTTCATTGCTGATTCCTGGATATTCAGGGAGTTCGATATCTTTGCATGGGTTTTCCAGATGTCATCCCATTGATCGTCTGTCAAACATCTTTTGATGTCTTTGTGCCATAGGTCCTTGTAACTAGGCGGTTTTTTTGACTGCACCTATGTGTTAGACAGTTAAGCTAGCTTTCTTGTTTTCTTGCTGCATGATTCTAGCGAGTTGGCTATAGAATATATTTTGTGTTATTACAGACTGAAATAAACTTCCTAAATATTTTTAAATTAAGCAATGGTCAGACCACAATCAGCTGGGCTCTGAGCTGCTAGAGTGGTGAATATTTTTTTCCCTTGCCTTTCTTTAACTGCTGGAGAGAATTAGCTGAGGTTAACTGCGTGGGAGGATAGTGTTTGAGGGTGTCTGGGTGTGTATAGCCTGCTGGAGAGTGGCGCCTGTTTGAGTAAGTGTTGTTTCTGTTTGACTCTGTTGCCTGGGTTGTAGCTGACTGGGGAGATGTTTTGCCTGGGCCTGACTGTTGGCCTCACCCTCTGCTGGGTGAGTCTTGAACTGTGTAAGGATCCTCCTCACCAGAGGCATGAGCCAAAGGGCCCTGTGGCTGTTAGCCTGGGGACGAGGCCTGGGGGCGCTGTAAGAAGCTGAGTAGCTCTTTCATCCTATATGTGTTGAGCTTTTTTGCTTCTGCAAGCCTTTCACAAGTAGTCTTGTGAGGCAGTTTGGCAGGGGAGTTATCAGGGAAGAACAAGAAAAACTAAACCACTTCTGCAATGTATTGCAGCAGCATGGCTGGTGAGGGAGCTGAGGCAGTGACATGAAAAGTCTGTGGCATGTTCTTAGTCTTACTTGAGGGTAACAGGAATTATACTTGTAGCAAGTGTAAATTGGTAGCCCTACTGGAGGATACAGGGACTTGAGGCACGTTTGTCCACACTCCATTTTATGAGGGAATTTCATGGACAGAATGCATGAGATGAAGCACTCCTGAGAGGGAAACAGGAGGAGGGAAAGGAAGACTTGTCTTGGCAGTAGTATGTGCAAAATGGATCTGGGGGTCTTAGTGGACCATACACTGAACATGAGTCAGCAGTGTGATGTGGTAGCTAAAAAGGCAAATGTGATTTTGGGCTGTATCAACAGAAATATAGTGTCCAGATCATGCAAAGTGATGGGATCGCTCTGGTTAGACTTCACCTAGAGTACTGTGTTCAGTTTTGGGCACCACAATTTAAAAACAATATAGACAAATTAGAAAGTGTCCAGAGGAGGGCAATGAAGATGGTGAGGGGTCTGGAGACCAAGTCCTATGAGGAAAGGTTGAAGGAGGTGGGTATGTTTAGCCTGGAAAGGAGATGATTGAGAGCTGATATGATCACCATCTTCAAGTACTTGAAGGGCTGTCATATAGAGGATGGTGCAGAGTTGTTTCCTGTTGCCCCAGAAGGTCGGACCAGAACCAACGGGTTGAAATTAATTCAAGAGTTTTCGGCGAAACATTTGGAAGAACTTCCTGACAGAACAGTTCCTCAGTGGAACAGGCTTCTTCGGGAGGTGGTGGGCTCTCCTCCTTTGGAGGTTTTCAACAGAGGCTGGATGGCCATCTGAGAGCAATGCAGATCCTGTGAACTGAGGCAGATCATGAGAGGGAGGGCGGGAAGGGTTGCCTCGGTGCTTAGTTCTCGTAGCCCTTTGTTATACGCCCAGGGAAAAGGTGATCATCACTTTGGGGTCAGGAAGCAATTTTCTCCAGGCCAGTTTGACCAGGGATCCTGGAAGTTTTTTGCCATCTTCTGGGCATGGAGCAGGGGTCACTGGAGGACTGGGGGGGGGGGAGTAATTGTGCATTTCCTGCATTGTGCAGGGGGTTGGACTAGATGACTGTGGAGGTCCCTTCCAACTCTTTGATTCTATGGTTACTTGTGTACAGCTGCCCTGGGGATCCCTCCGGGTTCAGCCTTGGACTCCTTGACAAGAGCCCATGAAAAATGATTCCCAAATGAAGAGAAGTAAAAGAAGTAGAAACTACAGATCTACAGGTCAGCAGTAAAATACTAGTATTGCTGAGAAACCAATTAAAGGCTCTTTGAAGAAGCACCTCAGGCTTAGAAAGGACTGAGGAATGGCCTGTCTGGGATTCCCAAATGGCCTTTTCACAAAAGGAGTATGGCAGAGAAACCAGAGGTCAGCTTTTGAAGTGGGGAGATTCAGCCTCAGAAGCGAGGAACCTCTGTTTAAATGATACTCACTTCTAAAGCTCGGAGGTCAAAATTTAGAGAATGACCCACTAAAACAGCGTCGGGAGGAAGCAGACTCTTCAGCCGGGCCTGGACGTCAGCAAGCCTGGTGGTGACGGAACAAAGCAGCTTCTCTGTGATGCCGGAGTACCTTCAAAAGACAGCCAAGAGGGCATCTGGCAGCGTGAGGGAACGAATGGAGAACCCAGCTCAGGACACGATGTGGCAGGAATCCTAGGGACGGAATCTGGCCCCCGAGCCTTCCCTCACTCTTGTTTTGAAAGCCTGACAGCTTTTTGTCCTCCAGCAACTGACTTCTAAGTCTCTCAGGGTTACAGACAAAAGGGAAGCAAACACACAGGGGCCACTGCCCACCCTCCCGGGGACCTCCATGAGGCACAAAACCTCACGGCTATGGAAGAGACAAGTGCTGAAACACAACTGACCATTTGTCTCCTCATCCCCTAAACGGCTTTTGTTGGCGGCCATCTTGGTGCATCTGAGAGAGAGGTAAGACCAGCCTCCATTTTGGCTCATACTTCTATTCCCCCCCCCGGCCCGGTATAATTCCACTTTAGTTCTTGGGGGGACAAATGAATTAAGTAAACAAATCATTCTCTGCTCCCGGTCTGACTTGACAGATTTAAAATATGCATGCCCGGACTTTAAAAAAAAAATGTACCTGAGGAGACTTATGGCGCATTTAAAATCCTAAAAACCACAAGTTTCATTCTGCTATGAGGGTCCCAATCCACAGATTGAAGAACACTGGCCCAGGGATTTATGACAGTATTCTACTGCTGAGGAACCCCCCCCCCCCCAAATCTGGCTTTGCTTGTCAATTCTCAAATCACATGATGAATTTGGGGAGGGGCAGTGTCTGATCCTTGAAAATCCTAAATGGTTTCCTTGACTAAGTCTATAAAGAGGCTACCTTGTAAGGTAATTCTGTATTGGCGACGAGGGCTTTACAAGCTCATCCATAATGCACTGGCCGCTGCCATCCACCACCGAGACTCGCGTGAGTTCGGATCCTTTATCGGTGAAGCACTGGGCAAAAGAAAATGACAGCATTTAGAAGGGCTCTTGTATGACTGGGCCAACAGTCTCCCCCCTCCACACACACCCGAGGCAGAATTTGGTCCTTGCTGGTTCTTTATCGACATACTATTACCCACCAGTGGCCACCATCTGCAGATACCTAAATCCGTGGATCGGGGCCACCTGGAGGCTAAAGAGGTTTTTCTGCACACTTGGGGCACAGCTCAGGAGGCCGACTGACAGCTGCTCAGACGCAACTGCTGCAGCGGAGGACGTTGGCTGCTGCTCCAGGCCTAGATGCGGTCTGCAGGGAAGGGGAGGAAGGAAGCCTAGGCGAGTCTGCCCAGAGCAGCTCTGGATGAGTTGATGGAGGAGGTAGAAGGTCCAGTAGTGGCTTCATGGGAGCCTGAGGAGAAGGGGGGGGGAGATGAGATTCCTCTCCCTGCGAGTATTGCGGGTCCCCACTTCTCTATATACTATTAGCTACATGTGGCCATAATCTGCAGGTAGCTAAATCCATGGATCGGGGACACACAGAGGCTAAAGAGATTTCCCTGCACACTTGGGGGACACCTCAGGTGTGCACAAAAATCTGAAATGTTTAAATTTCCCCCCCAAGTTCCCCCCAAATATACTTTACTTCTGCAGTAGTGATAGGTAGCTGCTGCAGCAGAGCTCGGCAGCGGACGCTGGGAGCCGCTCCAGGCCTGCCCGCAACAGCAGCACACATTGGGAGCGGCTCCAGGCTCGGCCGCAGTAGTGGACACTGCAGGGCTCGGCCACGGTGGCAGCGCACCTCGGGAGCCGCTTGGGGCCCAGCGGTGGTGTCAACACTAGTTGTGAGCTGCCTGGGGCTCAGTCACAGCAGTGCGCATCCGGAGCTGCTCCAGGGTCGGGTGTGGCGGTGGGTGCCGGAAGCCACTTGGGGCCCGGCCACGGTGGCAGCAGATGCCGGGAGTCACTCCAGGCTCGGAGTGACGCCCAGACACGGCCACTCCTGTGGCCAGGGTCCAAGGTGAGCAGTTGGGCCTGGATGTGCCGGCTCATTCATGGGGGCGGGGAATGGGATTCCTTCCCACCATGAATTTTGCAGGGTCCCCCTTGAAATTTCCAAAAGCGAGACATTAAGAGATGTGCTTCAAACGAGGGCTGTGTCTCCAGACTGCTAACAGACCCAGAAGGCTCCCCGTACCAAAGACTTCATGCTGGACTTTTGACATCTCTTGTGGAAGATTCTGCACAGGTCGACCACTGTTTGTGGTCACAAAAAGGAAGCAAAAAATTACCATTTCACAGTCCAGACCGAAAAGGGGGCTGTCATCTGAAGGTGCGATGCTGCGACAGATGGAAACAAAATGGCTGCAGTCACTGGACCCTGCAGAAAGAAGCAGAGATTGTTCTCAAAGGAAACCATCACGAGAGCCGATGTGTGGCACAGAGGCTGGGCACGGATATGGGGAAACCCAGCGTCCAAATCCCTGCACAGTAATGAAGCAGGGGAGTGTCAGATGCTCAGGCTGCGGGGACAGGCTGGAAACCAGTCTGGCAAGTCTCTATATTCCTCAGTAGAAGATGAAGAAGAGATTGGATTTACACCCTGCCCTTCACTACCCAAAGGAGTCTCAGAGCGGCTTACAGTCTCCTTTCCCTTCCCCTCCCCACAACAGACACCCTGTGAGGTAGGTGGGGCTGAGAGAGCTCCGAGAGAACTGCTCTTGAGAGAACAGCTCTGACAGAACTATGCCTTGCCCAAGATCATCCGGCAGCTGCAAGATTCTCACAGATTAGAGTTGGCGCACTTAACCACTACAACAAAGTGGCATTTGGTAGCAAATTATTGGCCCTCTACCTGACTTCACAGGCCAGGAGGACTGTGGGGCTGCTGTGGCTGAAACTGCCTGTGCTTCCCTCCTCTAAAGAAGCCAGTGCTGATCAACAAGGTTCTTGTTTCAAATCTTACCCTGCCAACTCCAAGTTGCTATTTCTCAAGACTATCCTACCCATGACGCAGAGTGTAGCAGGTGTTCCTACATGGCCGTGCACCTACTCTGCCAGTCAAGTCAGTGGGATTCATAGGTTTACCAGAATACTTGGAAGAACATTTGGAAAAAAACCCCACTTTACAGTACTCAAAGCACTTTATGTACATTCCAACAGGCAGCTCTACCTTCTAGAGGGTAGTTGTAGCGACGCATCTCTTCTGGGGTTAGAATGTAACTGGACAGCCCACGCCTTTCTTCTCCGTATTTCTGAATTACTGGATCTTTCTTCAGTTCTGAAATAACAAGTCAGGAAAGTTGGATGAAAGTGTCTGAAAGCTGTTTTCAAAGCACTCCTGGGAAAAGCTGAGCTTCCTTGGAAGCTGATCGGGAGTTTCCGCACTGAGAAGATCGATTGTGGCCGTCATGGGGGGGGGGGAGGTTCTCCCACGGAGGGCTCGGATTCAGCAGTGGGCTGTGATCCTCTTGCAAGCTGCAAGGGGAGGAGGAAGAGGGTGCGTGGGAAACTCTGCCTCCGCATCAGGGGCAAAATGGCCGTGAGAAACAGGCTTAGCTATGTGATGTATTGATGACTACGGGAAAAAAAGGTAAAGGTAAAGGTTCCCTTCCTCGAAAGCCAGTCGAATCCGACTCTAGGGTTGCGGTGCTCATCTCCGTTTCAAAGCCGAAGAGCCAGCGCTGTCCGAAGACGTTCCCGTGGTCATGTGGCCGACAGGACTAAACACCAAGGCACACGGAACGCTGTGACCTTCCCACCGAAGTGGTCCCTATTTATCTACTTGCAATTTCTTGCTTTCGAACTGCTAGGTTGGCAGGAGCTGGAACTAGAGATGGGAGCTCACTCCGTCATGTGGCAACTTGGGTCTCGAACTGCTGAACTACCGACCTTCCACAGCCTGCAGTTCAGCGTCTTAACCACTTGAGCCACCGCAATCTAAAGTGAAGTCTAAATTCCATGTTAACTGAGGTCAGATTCCTGTGATTTATGCTGAGAAGGGGGAGAGCAGCATGGAGTTACCTCTGCCAAGTGGGACCTGAAAACTACAGTAAGTTGACAGGTAGACTGAGAATAAAATAGAAGAGGGAGGAACTCCGTACGCTCCTTGAGAATCTCCAGTTTGGGCTAATCAGGAATGTTAGGGAACCAAAGTTCAGGTGCCCATTAAATGGCATTTGGAAATTCACAGGGCAAAGCTGATAAAATTACCTTCTCTGCTGAGCGGTGGATTGTCATTTGCTCCTGGCAAAGAGAAGCGCTATTAAAAAAAACAAGGCAACACGTCTTAAATAACGGACAGATAAAGGAATGAATGCACAGATCAGAAAAGTGAGCAACAGTCAGATCTGATGCAGGAGATGTGTCCTTAGATTTCCCACACTCCCTGTCTTGAAATTTAAAAACAGAGGCGCTGGGAAGGGTAAGTTTAATAACCTTCTCCACCTGTACCGATTTGCCTGTGTCCGATCTCGTCAGATCTCAGAAACTAAGCTAAGCAGTCAGCCCTGGTTAGTATTTGGATGGGAGACTGTGATGAAATGCATGTTTGAGTTTTTCCCCCCCTCTGGGCAGAGAAACTCAGTTTATCTTCATAAAAATGCTAATGGGTCTAGACAGTAAAGTGGCCAAGCTTCCCCCTTCTCCAGACAGGCAACAGAGTTTGGAAGATCTTAGGCTAGAATAGCCCCAAGGATAATCTCCAGGAAGGAGCTGGAGGAAATGCTTCCCTGATCTGGGCTGGCCGGGTCAAATGGGAGGGGAAAGAGAGATGATAAAACTTCCTCGCAGGAGGAAGCAGCTCTCTTTCTTCGGGATGCTGTGTTCATGAGAGGATAGACCTCTCCTCTGGGAAGGCTGCCATTATTGACTATATGCTCACCTGGGAGACTTGGAGCAAGCTTCAAAGTAAAGGAAACTTTTAGAGATCTTTAACTTCTTAAGTAAAGAAGCCTGTCCTATTTTAACAGCTGATAGGGCATGTACAGAGAAAGGGACAGAGGATTTGTGTTTCTACCAACTCCAGTTTGGTGTAGTGGTTAAGTGTGCGGACTCTAATCTGGGAGAACCGGGTTTGATTCCCCACTCCTCCGCTTGCACCTGGCTGGATGACCTTGGGAAAGCCGTAGTTCTGATAAGAGCTGTTCTTGAAAAAGAGCAGTTTCTGTCAGAGCTCCCTCAGCCCCACTTACCTCACAGGGTGTCTGTTGTGGGGAGGGGAAGGGAAAGGAGTTTGTAAGCCGCTCTGAGACACCTTTGAGTAGTGACGGGAGGGGTATAAATCCAATCTCTTCTTCTTCTTTTATATTCCTTGCTCAATCTGGTGCTGTGCTAAAAGGATGCTTATGAACATTTTCTTTTTAATAAATACTTTATAACTTTTGATGCTGGCAGTGGTTCCCTGTACCACATAGACCTCCACCATCTTGGACACACTGTTTTAAATGGGGTGCCGGGGGGGGGGAGGCAGGCAGTTGGCAAGCGACTATTCCTCCAGGGGCACAAAAGGCATTAAAACTGTCTCCGTGGTAGCCAGGCATTGGGCAGCGGGAGACACTGAGGCAAGGCCTCTGAACTTGGAAGGGAAGCTGGGAGTCCTGATCCTCCCAGTGGGAAATCCCAACAAGGATCAGATGGTGGTAGAGGGCTAGCCTAGAGAGAAGGAAAAGCCCCTCCGGGGAGTTGGGAACCCCTAGGAGGGCAGGCCAGAACAGGCCCATTCTGCCACAGAGACCACCAAGGAAGTCCAGGGTTGCTTGGCAGAGGCAGGCAATGGCAAACCCACCTCTATTCGTCTCTTGCCTTGGAAACCCTAAAGGGACATCTTAAGTCAACTGCGACTTGACGACACTTTACACACAGAAACTACTCTGGAGATCCCAGTTTGGTGTAGTGGTTAAGTGTGCGGAGTCTAATCTGGGAGAACCGGGTTTCATTCCCCACTCCTCCACTTGCACCTGCTGATGTGACCTTGGGTCCGTCACAAGCTCTGGCACAGCTGTCCTTGAAAAAGAGCAGTTTCTGTCAGAGCTCTCTCAGCCCTGCCCACCTCACAGGGTGTCTGTTGTGGGGAGGGGAAGGGAAAGGAGTTTGTAAGCCGCTCTGAGACTCCAAGTGAAGGGCGGGGCATAAATCCAATCTCTTCTTCTCTTCTCTTCTTCTTCAGTGTGGGCCAGCTGGTTTAAAGATATACCAACCTCTTCCCCTCAGCTGTGTTTTCTCTGTCTTAATTTCCCCTCCCACCCCTACACTACGGTTACTTTAGAGAATGGAGCATGGCACAAGGGAGGTGGGTCAGATCACGTTCAAGACGCGTGGTTTGCATCCAGAAAGTTCTCGGTTCAGCCCCTGGCACTGCCAGCTAAAAGAAGGAGAAGGAAGAGATTGGATTTATTCCCCGCCCTTCACTTGGAGTCTCAGAGCGGCTTACAAACTCCTTTCCCTTCCCCTCCCCACAACAGACGCCCTGTGAGGTGGGTGGGGCTGAGAGAACTCTGACACAAACTGCCCTTTCAGGAAGAGCTGTGCCAGAGCTTGTGACTGACCCAAGGTCACCCAGCCAGGTGCAAGTGGAGGAGTGGGGAATCAAACCCGGTTCTCCCAGATTGGAGTCCGCACACTTAACCACGACACCAAACTGGCTGCAGTTTCTCTGCAGCAGAACTAGGGAAGAGCTCTGACCGAGACCTCGGAGAGCTGCTGCCATTCTGAGCCGACAATATTGACCTAAATGCACCAGCTGTCTGACTTGGTATGAGGCAGCCTCCATCACTGTCTCTCTGCCTCCCCATGCCTCAGTTACATCCACTGTCAAAGCCCCCCCCCTCCCCCCCCCGTGTGCCATGGTAATGGTATAGCCAGTCATAACTTGTACACCACCAAGAAAACCCTCAAGAAATCTCCGGCCCTGCCCACATTGGGAAGTTCACAACGTCCCCAGGAAGCCACATCACTAATGTAGGAGGGCCGAGCAGCGCCGTGTGCCTTTCTGCTCCCCTTCCCGGGTCTCGTTTTATTCAGTCCCTGCCAGGGGTTGTTTTGTAGAAAAAGAGCTAGGGGAACTCATTAACATAACTCATTAGCATATGCCACACCCCCTGACACCACCGGAAGTGTGTCATAAGGCCACACCCCCTGACATCACCGGAAGTGTGTCATAAGG